TAAAATTAGTACAGCGTACCAAATTGAGTGACAATACAGTGACGTGTGTTGAGTTTTGCTGAAATCGGTTCAGATTTAGACATATCTCCCACAAATATTTACCTCCGATTTTAGGTAAATGGTGCACCAAAGTCCCTATATATCATTCGATTTGCACGAAATTTGGTATAGCCTACTAAATTAAGTCTAGAATGATGTTGTGTGTTAAGTTTCGTGAAAATCAGTTCAAATTTAGATATAGCTTCCATATATAGTTTCGCCCGATTTTAGGTAAATGGTGTACCAAAGTCCCTATATATCTTTCGATTTGCACGAAATTTGGTATAGACTACTAAATTAAGTCTATAATGATTTGTGCTAAGTTTCGTGAACATCAGTTCAAATTTAGATATAGCTTCCATATATAGTTTTGCCCGATTTTAGGTAAATGGTGCACCAAAGTCCCTGAAAATCATTCGATTTCCACGAATTTTTGCATAGCGTACCAAAATGAGTCTAGAATGAAGTGTGCTAAGTTTCGTGATAATCGGTACAAATCTTCATCTGGCCATTGGCGGGTTGAATTACCGATTTGATCCACATTTTTCATAGAGTAATATTCTAAATATAGATTAAGTTAGACACTTATCGGTCCACTTCAATCCACTATTTATAAAAGATCGATCCACTCTAAAAAATATAAAAAATAAATTTCGAGGATAAAAAAACCGGTTTCCTAAATTGTTGAACCGGATAATATTCGGTTTTAAGCGGATTTTTAACCGGTTTCAATACCTTACATGCATATTATTCGGAAGCTGGTAAACAAACGTGCTAAATTTATTGAACTGTACTATTATCGATTTTATTTTCGGAATATCCGGTTCAAAAATTTAGAAAACCGGTTCTTTTTTCCTCGGAATTTATTTTCTTATTTTACTCTGTGAGGATGATGAGGAGACGTAAACAATTGGGAATCTCAGGTGCCGCTGTCCAGTTCTCGCCTGCAGGCGACATCGATTAGTCGGTTCACTTTCCACAATTCTAAAAAAGTACATCTTCGGAAATAATTTTGGGTCATAAAATGTCTCCTCTGAGGATATTCAAATATTAAAACCGGTTTCAATACCTTACATGCCTCTTATTAGGAAGCTAGTAAACAAACGTGCTATATTTATTGAACGGCCGTACTATTATCGATTTTATTTTCTGAATATCCGGTTCAAAATGTTTCGAAATCCGGTTCTTTTTCCTCGGAATTTATTTTCTTATTTTACTCTGTGAGGATGATGAGGAGACGTAAACGATTGAGAATCTTAGGTGCCGCTGTCCAGTTCTCGCCTGCAGACGGCATCGATTAGTCGGTTCACTTTCCACAATTCTAAAAAAGTACATCTTCAGAAATAATTTTGGGTCATAAAAGACCTCTTCTGAAGTCATATAAATCTGTAGACAATCACAGCAGAGGCCACATATTATATTTGGAAAGATATCCTCTTCAGCGTCATTCTATGTAGTGATGACCTCCCGAAAAGTAGTGTCTTAAAAGTCGCTTGAGCTTTTTCTGCCTTGAGGATGACACTTATTGTGTCTCATCTATTAAAGTATGGCCTCTTGGAGTTTTTCTATTTATAAAATATCTTTCGAACTTTCTTTCGTGTGCAGAAGTTATTACATGGTATTTCAAATACATTTTCAGACCTTCTTCCTTTTGTAATTATGTAGAATCCATTCCTTCTACATAAGTCCTATGTAGTGGTCATTAATTTTATAATGAACCCATATATTCTAGAATAAGGATCTATGTAGGTCATATCGAACCCATCGCATATATTCCATAGTGGGGATATTTTATTCTAGAGGAGGTCCTCATTTTGTTCGTATAGTAGAAATCTACTTCAGAGGTCCCTAAATACAATTCTATAGCATAAACAACTTCTTTGGATGTAAGCTGGTCTATAGGGTAGATCTCTTAACTAAATTACTTACTTCTATAAAATTTTGAAATTTCTAAACCTAGTTGACCTACTATAGCGTGTTCAATTCAAAACAAATTTATTATTCAATGCTAATGCGTAAATTGTAATTTTTAAAATTAAAACCATTTTCAAAGCCATTGAGTAATTTACAGTAGTGGGGGACGGTGGCAGAATGACAGCAGCAACAACAACAATGAATGAAAAACTAATGAAATGTTGTAATTTTCTTCTTCGGTCTTTTGTCATTTCCCCATCTCATGATTGTGGTTTTGTCTTCCAATTACTTCTGCAAAGTAGATACATACTTATATACATTACTAGATATGTATATATGTAGATAGGTACACACACTTTGCTAAACTGTGTAATTAACAAAAATAAATAAAGGAAAAAAGAAAGGTAAACTTGCGAACAAAGAAAATTTTAAAGCAACAACAACAAGAAACAAAATTGTTATGAATTAAGTCAACAAAAAATTATGGCAAACTAGCTGCTTGGCTGACTGACTGGCAGGTTGGCGGTCATAATGGTGGTACAATTTTCATTTTAACAAGTAGGAATAACAAAAACAAATATCGGTAGGAAGGTAGGTTGTTTGGTTAAATATGTAGGACATGGCGAAATTGCTATCAATATTATTTTCAAAAATATTCCATGAGTCATGTTTTGTAAGTTCCTGGTAGGAAGTAATACAGTAATACTATAAATACCACTGGGTCTTTATAAAGACCGTTGGTATCTACACAGAGGTCCCTATACAGAACAAATTGATCTTTATAAAGACCAGGGGTCTCAATACAGACCAATTGTTCTTTATAAAGACTAGGGGTCTCTATACAGACCAATTGGTCTTTATAAAGACCGGAGGGTTCTATATAGACCAATTGGTCTTTATAAAGACCTTGGGTCTCTATACAGACCAATTGGTCTTTATAAAGACCGTTGACCTCTATACAGCCCAATTAGTCTTTATAAAGACCGTTGGTCTCCATACAGTCCAATTGGTCTTTATAAAGACCTGTGGTCTCTATACAGACTAATTGGTCTTTATAAACACCTGCGGTCTCTATACAGACCAATTGTTCTTTATAAATACCTTGGGCCTCTATACAGATCAATTGGTCTTTATAAAGACCTGCGGTCTCGATAGAGATCAATTGGTCTCTATACAGACCAATTGGTCTTTATAAAGACCCAAGGTCGCTATGCAGACCAATTGGTCTTTATAAAGACCCAAGGTCTCTATACAGACCAATTGGTCTTTATAAAGAACTATGCTCTCTATACAGACCAATTGGTCTTTATAAAGAACTATGGTCTCTATACAGCCCAATTGGTCTTTATAAAGACCCGAGGTCTCTATACAGACCAAATGGTCTTTCTAAAGTCCTGTGGTCTCTACTCAGGTCTTTATACTGACCACTCTGGCTTTATAAAGCCCTGTGGTCTCGTTACAAAAATTGCCAACAATAAAATCGTATGTCTATGCCCGATAACAAAAGAAAATGTAATTAGATCTCTAATCGATTAATTTGATATTGAAACACAATATATCAACAATTGCATTTCCAATGTTCGTGACAGTCAGCAAATACAACCCACCCATATCATTACCTACCCACCGTGTGTATTTCATTACACTTGACCCACTAACAATGAGACGGAACAAAAAACAAACATATATAGAGCTTCCAATCAAAGTTTACCTACCTGACTGCCTGCACTTGGATTTCTGATGATGATGACAACGATTCTAAACTATGGGTGAATAAACAAAAAAACTGAGAATTCTCAACAATAAATAAACAATAACCGAATTACTGTCCCCATAATGCTACCAGAGACAAAAAAAATGTTGACAAAGCAACATTTTTTTTATAAACGACTGCTGGCCCTGCCTGCTGCTGCAGCTTATTTGTTTGGTGGCCTGCCTGTCAATTGTAAAATAATTTAAATGGGGCGAAAACAGAGTCAAATTCAAAACAAAACAATGAAATGATAAAGGCAAGACAAGGCGTGCCCATAAAGTCTACACCAATTTTTTAAATGTTGTTATATACCCTTATCAGGAACGAAGACCTACTAACATTTTTTGCACCAGATATTTTTGTTTGATAGATAAACTTGGAGGTTTAACTATGATTATATTATTCGTATAAGATAATCTTAATACAGTGGAATCCCAATAATTCGAAGTTCGCAAACATATAAAATAAACGAACTGCCCATTGAACCCCTTTTTCGACTTTTATACTCTCCACCATAGTATGGAGGGTATATTAGTAATCACTCTAGCGTATAAACGAATTGAGATAGATCGTCAAAATTTTGCGTAGAGTCGTCTTTTATCTGCAGGTCAAGTTCGAAGATGGGCTATATCGGTCCACGTTTAGTCACGGTTTTCAACCGTATTCGCTGAAATTTGGTACTTTGAGTTCTTATTGGGTAGAAAATCTCTTCACTAAAAATTATAAATATAGGTCCAACTTTTCTGGTAGCCCCCATATAACGGTACCCCCCATTTTTCAGTTTGTGGGAGGGTCTTGATCGAGTTTTTCAACCGAATATATCGACAGGCATTTAGGCATCTCCTGTTACCTCCTGAAGGAAAGAATTCAGATACAATTAGTCATAGCCTCCATATAATGATAACCCCAAATATTGTCTATTTCCTACACTATGTCCTCCTTAAGGCATCCTCCTTCAATCGACGCTTCGGGATTTTAGAAAAAATCACCCCATTAAAAAATTGCTGAAATTAGTATTTGGTGTACATAATGGTTTAGATAAATCGGTTTGTAGAATTATCGGTATAGGTTCACTTTTTGGTATGTTCCCTATATTTTCATTTCAATTATATGTCAGCGTATACCTATGGTGGAGGGTACCCAAAGTATCCAAAACATAACACTTTCACTTGTTTTTTTTGCTCCAGTTTATTCCAAAAATCTGCATAAACAACATCGATTTCATTCATTCTGTGTGACTACTTTATTTATTGATCCTAAAACTAATTATTTTTTCGCTTTCTCTCTCTTTCAGAAACATTTTCCCGTGGCCATAAAATGTATTACCAAAAAAGGTCTAATAAAAACGCAAAACCTTTTGGGTAAGGAAATTAAAATTCTCAAAGAATTGACAGAATTGCATCATGAGAATGTCGTGGCACTGCTCGACTGTAAAGAGTCACAGGATTGTGTCAATTTGGTTATGGAGGTAAGTGCGAAAACAAAATTCTTCTGTCAATATAAAAAATATACATGGCAAAACAATGAGGGGGGACTTTCAAGAAGGTCCTTGAGTAATAACCTATTAATACAAAAAGGATAGGAGGGGGTTTATTCTTTTTATTTACAAACATATTTCAGGTTCTGAGGATGTTCAACTATTTCCTATTGGCCTTTATGATCACAGTTTCCCTTTACACCTATAATTTTCTAATCTGAGATTGTAATTAGTAAAAAATCAGTACGTCTTTCCACCTACCAAATGATCTTCCTCTTAAGAAAGGCATTTTCTGAATTTAAAAGACCACAGAACATAATGGGATTGGTTTGTTAAACCAAATCCAGGGTCCATAAGCCAAGATTTTTATGAACTGTATTGTGTGTTCCGATGAGCAATTCCTTTATTTCCATTTTTGGGTAATTTACCCAATAAGAAATAGACTTCATTGTTTTTTCTCTTCTAATGATTCATATTTTTTATTGAAATAACAATAATAATTATCACAAACCGCCACCACTGCACCATATATTTTCGTTTTTGGATATTTTCATTCACAAAGACTAAGAAGAGCCATTCCATGCCTCATTGCATTGTCTTATCAAAATAAATCAGATATACATACCTATATACCTAGAATTTTATTTCTAGAATTTCGTCATTGGGCTTTTTTCTGTTTTATCCATGGAACAACGAACCACACCACCACTCCATATGCAAAGTATTTGGCTTCAAAGATAAATAAACAAATTTAAATACAATACCAAAAAAATGCAATCATCCAATGAAGACAACGTAGAATGCGAGAGAAGATACACAATTTTGAAGTTCATTGACTTTTCAGATAAAAGGCCATGATGCGTTTTTTTTATTTTATTTCCTACCTACCTCCCTTGCGTTCAATTGAATTTAATTTTGGATATTCAAATATTTGTACTAAAAAAAAAAAAATAAAATTTAAAAATATTTCGCTAAACAAATATTGTTTTAGAATATTCGTAATGCAATGAACGATTTTACATTCATTTTTTTATTTGATGCGGAATAAGAGGCCATCGTATTTTCCTGCGTGTGCCACTTTGGCCATTGGCCTTTTTTTCAGTGGGTTGAAGAAACAATTGGTTCCTCATTTCATTTCCAAAGAAATGACCTATTAATTAAGTAGATACATATGTATTTATGTATGTGTGTGTGTTAATTGGCAAATTGCAAAATGAATTGTTGTTTTTTCTTCTTTTTTTTTTTTTGATGATGACGACGTTGCAATGTTTTTTGCTTCGTGCCATAAATTGTATAATTTCTTGACCCCATTTTTTATGGAATTTTGTTTTTCGATTTGCAAACAGGAAATGTTTTCTTTTTTGCCAATCTCAAAATTTTAAATTTTTCAATGAGGGCGCATATAGAAGAGATTCAAAAGACATTTTCTCAAGAATTAGATGTGCTTCAGAAGACCGTTCAGGGATCTGATTCTAAGATATTCAAAATTGAAGGAAAAAAAAAATGTTCTGAATGAGTTCTCTTAAATCCTTCAGAGTATGTTGTATCATCTATAGGAAAAGCATTCTATCTTCTTGAGGAGATCTGATTCGTATATTTTTCGATATTCAATGCATTGAATTTGCTTTGCCGAATGAGATTCTCCGTGGATTTTCTATCTATATAAAATCTACTAAAGTTCTTCCATCAATATAAGTCTTTCTTTAGGCATTCCATGTCAAAAAATAGCGGCTGAAACTCTTCCAGGTGCTTCGCTTTTCACTGACATATATAGAGGAGATTAAAAAAAAATGTTATAGAAAATAAAAAGCTTCAGTAGGCAGTTCAGAGTCTTCCGAAGGACCATTTTGTGGATCTGAATCCTACATTTACATATTAAATATAATGAAAATATTTATTCTCAAAGAGTAATTTTGAGTTTGTTCTATCTGAAGAACATCTACGAATGTTCTTCCATCCATAGAAGTCTTCCTTAAGGTATTCCATGTGACAAATATCGACTGAAATCCTTCCAGGGGTGGATACCTTTTCAATGATGGCGAATATAGAAGAAGTTCAAAAGAGATTTTTTAATGAATAAAGAGCTTCAGAAAGCAGTTTAGGGACTTCAGAAGGAGTACTTCATTTCCTTGAGGATCTGATTCCTAAATTTATATATTCAATATATTGACAACTTTTATTCATAATGTGTTCTTATGAGGATTTTCTATCTATATAGTTCTTTCATCCATAGAAGTCCTTCCTTTAGGTATTCCATGTCAAAATATCGGCCCATGATGGGATCTGATTATCCCAATGGGATGAGGTGCCTTGAGTAGACACATTTTTCAACGAAGGCAAATATTGAAGTGGTTTCTAAAGAGTTTTTTCTAAAGAATAAAGAGCTTCAAGAGGTAGTTCGGGGACTTCAGAAGGACTATAACTTTATGAGGATCTGATTCCTATATATAGATAGATATATAGATAGATGGAAATATTCCTTTATATATTCCATGTCTCATATAACGACTGAGACTCTTGAGTAGACACCTTAAAATAACTTACACCTATAGAACTCAAAATCGTAATGAAAAAATGTTTGTTTGTCCCACATCTTCGTTTAATGTCTTTGACCTGCATTTCACTTTAATTTATTTTACTTTCTTGTTGTTGTTGTTTAAATTTAAATACATTTTAATTCATTTTTTTCTTCTATTTTTTAATGATGACAATAACAACAAAGTCAATGTTTTATGCCACCACCAACAACCATCATCAAGGTTATGACAATAACCGTGCGGCATCACAGCCACTTCTGTTGTTGCTTCTGGAAGTATAAGAAGAAAGTGTTATCAATGACTGGTTTTGTAGATAGAATACTGAGGTTCACTTTCTTAAATTGGAGAGGATAGGATAGTTGTAGTGGATTTGAGAGAATAGCCAGTTGCAACTGTTAACCCTGTAATAAAAATACCAATTTGTGATATCAGAACTTTCCAGAGACCATATGCCTTTATAAAGGTCGCAGATCTCTACCCTGATGCACTTTGGCTACAGGGATATGTATCCTAAACAAGTGTCCCTTTCTTGAAGCAATTGTATGTCTCTCTAAAATCTAAAAAAAAATCTCCTGGATTTTAAAGAAAATATTTTAAGGATAGGACTGGGTTTTTAAAGAAATTTCCAGAAGCCATTGGAAAAGATTTAAAAGCAATATACATTTTTACGAGCCAAAAAATAACCACACATTTCTTTTTTTAGGATTATTCTCCGAACTACATTTTTTTTGAGTTAAAAAAAAAACAAACAAATTAAAGAATTGTTCAAGAGCCATGCCTATGATTATACCCTTCACCACACTGTGGTACGGGGTATTATGTCTTTGTGCATATGTTTGTAACAGGCAAAAGGAATCGAGATAGACCAATGGTTCCTTGCATAGAATCACTTTCTGAGTCGATTTATTCATGTGCGTTCGTCCGTCCGTTTGTTGATGTTAAATTGAAAACAAAGTGCAGGTCGCATTTATAATCCGATTTGGATGAAATTTTGTACAACTCATATATTTGGCTCAAGAAGTTGGTGAAAATCGGTTCAGATTTAGATATAGCTCCCATATATATTTTTGTCCGATTTAATGTAAATGGGGAACCAAAGTCCCTAAATATCTTTCGTTTTGCACGAATTTTGGCATAGCGTTCTGAATTAAGTACAGAATGATGTGTGCTAAGTTTTGTGGACATCAGTTCAGATTTAGATATAGCTTCCATAAATAGTTTCGCTCGATTTTAGGTAAATGGTGCACCAAAGTCCCTGTAATTCTTTTGATTTGCACGAATTTTCGCATAGCGTACTGAATTAAGTCTACAATGATGTGTTCTAAGTTTCGTGCAGTACAAATACTCTGGTATTGATTTTCTGTTTATTACTGACAGGAATATGGAAAATAAATAAAAAACGTAGCCTGCAAGAAAATCTCTAAAAAATAGATTATCTTTATAAATACAACAGATTTTCCACGTAGAGGAGAATATCATTATCCTCCATACGAAATCAAAAGGATCTCCTTTTAAAAATCCAATATATATTTTCCTCTGAGTAATACCAAAGAGATCTTCTTCTAACAGCATATCATTCCATATTCCTCTAGAAGAATTCCAAACGATTCCATTTTAGAAGAAAAATATACCTTTCTTAAGAATACAATTTGATTTTCTTATAGAGGAGATTCAATAGCCTTTATAATATTCTATAACAACAGATCGTCTTTGCTACAAAACATATTCGCTTAAATATTTTTCAAAAAATTCTTTATTTTTTTTCTTCCCTATAACTTACAAACAAATTGTGCTATGTTTACAATTACTTACATTTACATATTAGGCGAAATTGTTTTGTGTATTCTAAATGGAAGGTCCATATATATATATATATATATATATATAATTAAAAAAGAAAGAATATTACAAGACTAGTTAATACACCAACAAAAAAAGGAAGCTTATGTATAACATTTTGGTAAAAGAAATTGTTCTTAAAAGTAAAAAAAAAATCATAATAAATTATAGTCATATTTCAGTTTGTTCAAGAAAATGATCACTTATTGTAGTTTTTTTTTTGGGTACATGATTTGTTCTTTATGAAATAAAAAAATCTATTCGTTAAGTTATTTAAAATTTACTACAGACAAAAAATTCTGAATCGAAATTTGTTTTCAATGTTTAATTTAGTTTTAAAATATTTTTTTTTTATTTTTTACTTTAGAGAAGCCCCCCATAGGCATGATTTATAGAAATATTTCTCAAGACCTTTACAACAAACAAAAAAATCTGTAGTACTTCTTTGAACTATTTTGATTTTTTTTTTTTTTTTTTTTCAGAACAAAAATTCTGAATAGCAATTAATTAAGTTAAAAGTAATTTAATAAAGTCCAGATTGGACTGTTTTTTCTGTGGCAATTCAAAGTTTTGTTGATGAGTGACATAAGGAGTTATCATTCCCCTTACCAATCTCTACAAAAAAACTAAAAAATTGCCGAAATTAAAATAGTAAATCTGAGCTTACTTTCGACAAAAAATCCTGGTTTGTTTCCTTACTGCAAGAGTCTACTAGATTTTACTATTTTCATCGATGTCATTAAGGAACATTCGGTATCGTAGTAAAAAGTAGTAGCTTCTTTCAGTATTGGGAACATGTTTATTATGTTCAATTTAATTTAGCAAAGCATTACTGCCAAATTCGAATGTTTGTTGTTGTTATATTTCAAAATGAAATATTTTATTACAATTTCCATCGATTTAGGTCAGATTTTTGGCAAGGTTTTTGTTTAGATTTAAACACCATATCATATTTTCTAGGTTGGGGAGTTTTGATATTTGTTAAATTACAGTTACAAGAATGTCTGTCAATCACAAAAAATTGAATTTTGTTCCTTTATGCTATTTCTTAACTAACGTCCTAACTTTTTTGTATTACAAATATGGGGAAACTTTGATATTTGATACATTTTTAAAAATAATAAAAATAAATATTTACAATTTATATAATTTTTTGGATTCGTTATACTACTATTTTTAGAATGGAATAAATACATTTTCTCTGTGTGGATTTTTGTTCTCTCCCTCTCTCTATTCCCTTAACTTAAGATATTTTATTCAAGGGTATCTCTTCGGGAGCTTGGCCATTGCTTTCCATGGTTTTGTTTTCTTCGGGTTTTTTGGTGCGGCAACATTTCGTTTTCATGCCCCAAACATCTTTGCGGCACAAAACACCAATGATAATGCCAATGACGGATATTATCATGAGTCCTAAACAGCATAACAAAGGAAATATAGTATTATTAAGTGTTATTGTTGTAATTTGAAAAATAAAATCCTTACCAATTAACATTTGATTAATGGCCTCCTGTGATATGGGCACCTTATACGGCTCTTCTTCTCCACCTTCACCTTTGGCATCTACTGTCTTGGCTGCTTCATTACCCGACAAACCCACTGAGGCCTTTATCACATCTGTTTCATTTTGCTCCAGCAATATATCGGGTGTAAGTGTTGTTGAGGAGGAAGACATGGTCTTGATATCTAACGGGGAGGGGAAAAACAAATATTATTAATTAACACTTAATTAAACAACAACAACAAAAAGAAAAACAAACTCCCATTGTTTTCCCAAACTTACCCGTTCCAGCAGCGGCTGCTGCAGTTGTTGTCGTTGCAGTTTTTATACTATTACCAGCCGTTGTTTCTGTTTCCACCACCACCGTTGCACTGGTCGTTTCAATTTCCCCCAACGATGTCGGCTGTTTGTATGGCGGATCTGTGACCACAATTATACTCTCATTATATGATGCTCCCAGCACCAATTCATAGCAGCTAACTTCGAAACGCTTAAAACTAATGTTGTCAATGAATTTCAGCAGGTTACACAGTTCCTCGGTACTTTGCTGATCCAATTCTGGTACCCGCAGCTTGATTAGACTTTTCAGCGGTGTAAAGGCTCTGGTATTGATTTTCTGTTTATGGTCGGATTGGTTGGGAAAGAATGGATAGAGAAAAAACGGCAATTAGAGAAATGTCGAAACAAAACAACAACGACAACAGCGACGAATACAAGAATGACTTGAAAATGAACATGAATGTCAAAACAAAACCAAACCAACAAAAAAGCTAAACAACACGAATTTGTGGCAAAAGCTTTTTCTTCTTCATTTTGACAAACAGATGTGAAAGCTTTTTTCTATTTTATCATGTTGTGGATAGCATTGCCAGATGTGATTTTTGGATATATGAGGGAGGCATTTGAGAAAAGAAGATATTGCAAAAAAAAGTAATTTTTTTTTTTTTTGAAAATAAATTTAGTATTGAAATTAAATATAAATTGATATTTTAAGAACATTATTAGGGTCATAATTCTGGGTTCCTAAATAAAAATATTTATTTTAGTCATAGGACCATTTTTAATAGATTGTCAGGCCGACTGACTTAACGATTCATCAACGCCCAGACAAAACGGCTGAAGCTAGAATCTTGAAATTTCGGGTGAGGGTCACACTCCGGGTCCAAAAGTGACAAATAGACTGGGTTTTTTTATTTGGAAATTCGTACTAAAACGGTACGAAAAGTACTAAAATGGCGACCCGGTAGGCCTAGAACTCTTAAATTTTAATTGAGGTTGACTGATGGAGTGTAGAATAGATATAGACAAAGGGGTTTTTGGACATTCGAACTATAAGTATGCAAAAAGTACTAAAATGTACTAAATTTGGTATAATTTCGTAGCATGAAAGTTGAAATTTGGAATGCGAATTGGGGTTGGGAAGTGTAGTGTCGATATAAGGAGATGGTTTTGAAATCGTGTACTCATGTGTATGAAAAGAACTATATGGTACTATATTTTGTACAAATTTAATTTGAAGATACAAATCGGAAATCTTTGGAAATCTTTTACTTATGTGTAGGAAAAGTACTAAATCGTACAATTTGGATTTGGGTGAACTGATAGAGCTGGAACAATGAAATTTGGAGTCAGGATCACTGTGGGGTTGTAGGATTGGAGTATGTCGCAAGTTTTGGAAATTGTACTACTGTGTCTAAATTTGGTACAATTTGAATTGTTGGTGAACCGATAGAGTTGGAATCCTGGAACTTGTATTTGGGATGACTGTGAAGGTGCAGGATTGGGGTATGTCGCAAGTTTTGGAAATTTTACTACTGTGTACTAAATTTGGTACAGTTTGAATTGTTGGCGAACCGATAGAGTTGGAATCCTGAAACTTGGATTTGGGATGACTGTTAAGGTGTAGGATTGGGGGGTATGTCGCAAGTTTTGGAAATTGTACTACTGTGTACTAAATTTGGTATAGTTTGAATTGTGGATGAACCGATTGAGTTGGAATCCTGGAATTTGGAGTGTAATAACTTTGGTATAATTTGCATTGTTGGTGAACCAAAAGAGTTGGAATCTTGACCTTTGGATTTAGGATCACTATGGGGGTGTAGAATTGGGTTAAGTAAGAAGTTTTGGAAATTCGTACTACTCTTAAACCCATTTCCATCGAAGTTGCTGGTTTTGGTTTCAGGTTGGGTAGAAGACGCCGTTCAATGTCATTCTGGAAATTTGTTGTCTGTTTTTTTTTTAATAGATTTCCATACGGTATTCTAATTTATCTTATAAAATTATAGTTTTGTTTTGACATTTTTTGTTGGGTGCTGAACATACCTTATTAAAATCATTATTATCTATACGCAGTGCCGTCAAATGTGGTGTATTTTTAAATGTATCCTCATACAGTTCCGACCATGAACAATTGCGGCAATTCAATTCCAACAGAGATGGTTGATTTAGAAATGATGCGTCGACGGGTAGTTTAATGGGATTATTACTTAAATCCAATAAACTTAAATCGCTGGCACCACGGAATGTATCGGGATCCAATTCGCTTAGGCGATTGGAGGATAAACGTAAACGTTGTAAGTGAGGCAAGTCCTCGAACATCTGTAAATGAGAGAGATGGATTTAATTGGGATACAAAAATTAAAATAGGATGGGCGCCCTTACCTCCTCTGTAACATTCTCTATTAAATTATTGCTTAAATTAATCTCTTGCAATTTTAGGCGATGTGCGAAATCGCTTGTCTTAATTTCCTTAATACGATTATGGCTTAAATCTAAAATAACAGCAGTATTTGGTAGGTCATGGGGTACTTCGGTTAGGCGGCCATTGGAACAATCAATATATTTGAAATCTTCCAGGCAGAGACAGGATTTGGGGCAGACGGGTTCCACCACATGATTGCTGCGTTGCGGGGGATGATCTAAAAGAAGCAAATGGAATTATTAATTAAAAAATCGAGAAATTAAATATTTGTGTATAGTTACCTCCCCTATCACCTCCACTAAATAAACTTAGCAGAGAATTGGCCAAATTCACAGCTGTGGATGAGGCAGTAGATGGAGCTGTGGCTGCTCGTGATTGTGCGTCAGTGGCTGCCGCCTGTTTGGCTTCATATTCACCATCATCATAATAGTCATCATAATCATCATCGGGATATTCATCCTGATTTGTGGGTGATGTTTGATTTTGGGCAGGAGCGGCCCTTGTGTGACAGAAACTGAAAGAGAAAAGAAAACAAAAATTAATATTTATAGGTTCTCGTTAATGAAAAAATAAATGGAAATTAAAAAAATAATATTTTAAAATTATAAAAAAATAATAAATTACAAATTTGAAAAATTGTATGTCCAACTCAAACCTAACCTAACTTTCTACATAACCTCAAATTTAATATTTTTTTTATTTTTCCCTAAGTATTTTAATACTGGCGCCTTAAATATTGATTTCATTCATCCTTTTTAAAAACCACACAATATTTGTATGTTCTCCACAAACAAAAGTAAACTTTTTATTCCCCAAACCCCAAAAATACACACCCACTTACACACATACACATGGAGACATTCTCATTTTGTGTAAATATGAATAATCTACCGTCATAAGTGTCAATAGAACTGGCTAAAAAAACAAAAAGGAAGAAGGAACAACATATTTCATTAGCTGGCATTTGTTATATGAAAAAAACACGGACTTAAGGACCTTCGGAAGAAGCCAATAGACATTAGTTTTTTCCCCTCTTCCACCTTAAAGAAGACATCACCAAAAATAGATATGGAAATGACGTAGACAAACAGCCAAGGAGCATTTATGGGAATTCATTTGTGTTTTGGTTTTTTTTCTCCTCCTCTAAGGGGCGGCTAGACAACGAAAACCCGTAATGTGAGCAGAACCCGCAATGTGTGTTGAATACTGAGTGGCATAGCTTGAATTTTAATTAGCCATCATCTTTGGAAATTAGTCGTCAATGCTTGGAAATGAATGAATGATTAATTTTCAAAGATTTTTTTTAAATGGAAATTGAAACTAAGGGAAAATGTTCGATGTCATTGTGATGAATATTTTTGTTGAGGTGAGAAATGAGATAAGAATCTTGAATAATTTTCGAAATTCAATTGAAATTGGGGTTTAAAATTTATTTCAGAGGAATTTTGAGAAAATAAATTATTGACATCCCTTTACCAAATGATTTCGTTCGTAACACTTCTCGAAGTACTTGTCGGGAAGATCCAATAACTAAATTTTAATTCAAATTCATTTGCTTGTCGATACTTATGAAGGTAGAACTTGGGAATTTTTGTCCGAATCTTTGGTATTGAAAAATTGAACAATTATAAAATAATTCCTAATAATCGTCCGATTGTAGGTAATTTGAAGAGCATGGTGGTCTCATTTTTATACCGTTCACAACACTGTGTCACTTATGTCTTTGTGCATATGTGTTTGTAACAGGCAATACGAAACGAGATAGATCCATGGTTGAGAATATGCATAGAATCACTTTCTGAGTTAATTTATGCATGTCCGTCTGTACGTCCGACCGTCGGTCCGTCCGTCCGTCCGTCTGTTAATGTTAAATTGTAAACAAAGTACAGGCCACATTTATCAGCCGATTTGGATGAAATTTGGCACAGCTCATTTATTTGGCTCAAGGATGAAATTGGGAAAAATCGGTTAAGATTTAGATATAGCTCCCATATATAATTTCGTCCGATTTAAGGTAAGTGGTGCGCCAAAGTTCCTATATATGTTTCGGAATTAGGCCTAGAATGACGTACGTAAAGTTTCGTAAAAATCGGTTCAGATTTAAATATAGCTCCCATATATATTTTCGTTCGATTTTATGTATATGGTCCCTATATATCTTTCGATTGGTACGAAATTTGGCACAGCGTATTGAATTGAGTCTAGAATGATGTGTACTAAGTTTCGTGGAAATCGGTTCAGATTTAGATATAGCTCCCATATATATTTTCGCCCGATTTTATGTAAATAGTCCCTATATATCATTCGATTTGCACGAAATTTGGCACAGCGTACTGAATTAGGCCTAGAATGACGTACGTGAAGTTTCATGGAAATCGGTTCAGATTTAGATATAAATCCCAGGAACTTTTAAGTTCCTTATCGAATTTTTTTAATCGATGTGGTGGGATTTTTGTTGAGTTTTTCACTAGCCATGGTAGTTTAATTTCGGTTTGATATGGATGAAATGTGGGTCCAAGTTCTGACTATGTGTGAACCCTAAAAAATTAGAAAATGCTAATTATAATTCATATTAACTGATGCTTCTTGGAATGATCTCACACGTTTCCTCTAGGAGAAAACCTATAGATCATCTATATTTTTATTTTTTACATAAAAAACTCTCTTAGCACTTCAAAAACTGTGAGATTTGTTGGTTATCTTTTCTCTGAGAGACGATATTGGCATTCCATCTACATACCTCCTGATCTACTAAGAGGGTCTGTCGTTTTTTTCTGATAATTCTATTAATTTTGCATGAGAAGGATGGGATCAAAGGCACATGGAAATATTATAAAACTACTCTTTATGTGTATTGTGATATCTAAGTCCTCATACAGCCTTGACAGCCCCGAAGTGAAGTAGCGATAAAAGCCTCCCAAAAAGTATATAACTTATTAAGGGCCCGGTGAAAACGAAATTTCATTATTTTGCAACTTTTGTTTAGCAGAAGGGCAGTATATTTGACATAAAAATCTGTTTTTAACTTGATTTTCAGCATATAGAAGTTCCTTGCTGATTTTTTCTTATATGTATTCTATGAAAATACCACTTGATATTCATTGCAAAAGAAATTTTGAAAATTTTCCAAATAAATTCTGAAATTATTTAAAAAATTCCTTTAACCAGATATAAATTTCCATATCTATTTTTTTTTTTCTTGTCGTGATTGATGTTGTGTTGAACCTGTCCGGTCCAACATTCATTGGCATTCACATATTTTGACGCATACATAAAAGGTTCAACTCAGTTGAACTTGTATACAATAAAAAAATTCACTGAAATCAGATTTTTGATGAAACCCCCTCTTTCGAAAGTCTAAAGGTTCTTTCCGTTCGATGGAACGTCACAGCAAAATAATTGTTATTTCATGAAACGAATAAAAAAATGTTGTTTTTATTTTAAAATAAAATTTATATCGCATTATTTAATTTTCCCCAACTATAATTTAGTTGAGACAACGTGTGTGGTAGCAGCTGTTACATATCTACATATGTATGTAGCGATCGACATAAGTAAAAGGTTTTTATATCAAGAAAAAATAGCATTTATTTGATATCAGGCAATTACTTATGGACTTTGTTCGAATTATTATTAATTTTTGTGTGAAATTTACACTTAACAATTGTTTTTGCTCTACGTTTTCGTATTTTATTCTAGCTTTCATAATTCCATTTCTCATTGAGTCATAAATACGGCGAAGCGCATTGTTGTGTTTTTTTTATTATCATAATAATAATTATTTTTATTATTATTGAAACAACACACCGTCCGTCGTCAAGTTCAGGTTTATCTTTGAATTTTTTTTCTTCTTCGATTTGACTTTTTTTCAAAATCTGAAATAATTTCCAATTTTGTGTGTGAAGTTTTCCATGTTGTTATTAACTTATCGAACCATACCATGACACACCAACACACGTCAATATATTGTTGTTGTTTTTTATGTTTATTTCCAATAGTTTACTTTGGTGTATTTGTTGTTGGTTTTTTATGTTATGTCCACCTAGAGAGAGCGGTAACATTTAAAAAGAATTTTTATTTGAGCTTCTCGATAGGGGAATTTTGACGCAACAACGACCATACAACAACAACTGTAATTTGATGAAATGTCAATTTTGTAATAATTACTTGTTAATTTCACTATTACCTTAATTGGGTGGGGGATTTATCGTTTTCAATGCAGTTTGCATTCGGAAATTGGGGTTAGGGTTGCAAAATACAATTTGAGACACATAAAAAAAACTTCGGTGAAATTTAATAGGAGTTTCTTGAGTTTTATTGGACATCCGTAAAAATGTTATTTGAAATTTTATGAGGAGCCCCATGTGAGAAGATAAGAATGCCTGTAGACATTTTGCAAAAAATCTTCACAACAAAACTTCATGTTCTTAACAAAACAACTGTAGGACCTTTATAAGAGCTCTTACAGTTGTACCTTTTTTTATAAAAAAGACAAAAAACCTCAATAACTTCGGCCGTGGTAGACTTGATATATTTTCATCCATGAGATTGTCGTTCAAAATTGTTCGAAACCCTTATATGGGGAGGCAATGTCAAGACATAGACCAGCTTGGTTATTGTCTGTCAGGAGGTTTTCAATCCCATGAATAAATCAAATACTTAATTACATACACTTAGGTTGGAAAATTCGGTTAGTGTCATCAAGGCAGCGGCAATGGTGCGGATCCTTAAATGTGGGTTATGTCAAAACATCGGAAAAACTGGAAATAACAACTTCTAGCCATAATGTTAAACAATATGGGACAATAAATTTTAAATAGACTATGTCAATTATAGAAGTTTTTGTGTTCCGAAACCCATACTAGGAAAATTCGGGACCATGGAAATACCTTAAATGGAATGGAGTTTTACATGAAGCTATGTGAATAAATGGACCCATAGTAAAACCTGCGAAGAAACGTTTAACCCATCAATAACTTGCGAAGCCATACAAAAGGCACTTCAGATGTAAAATGTGTCTAGGACCATAAAAATATCTAAAATGGGATGGAATTTCTTCATATGGAAATTTCATTCCTTTCATTCACTGAGAACCCGAATTGTATACTTATAGCTATTTCCCTCGAAAATGAGACTAGAAAATACCAAAAATGATGCGGTACCGTTTCAAAATATTCTTACCAACTAAAGACCCGAACTCCACATTAATCAACTAACTCTTTCATGTGAGAAGTCTACTCACACAGTAGCATCGCCAAATTTCTGTATTTTAAAATAAATAGCCGCAGGGTCCAACAAATCGGTTCGTAGTTGGACATATTAACCTCAATTTCATATTTAATGTTGACGATATTTTGGTTATTATTAAATTCATTGTCGAATGTTCCTCCCGAAGTGTAATTGGACATATTAGGTTCTAGATGGATAGAAACCCCTGTTATTAAACTAAGTAACGATTTAGAATATTATGAATTGCTTTCCCATTTTTGCCTCCTTTTTTTAAGAAGAAATTTATAATTTTTAACGAACATTTTTCTTTGAGTGTAAATGATAAATTTCAAAAATTGCTCATATTAAAGGCATATTTGCATATTCTGTACTTCTCTTGACCACTTTTCCACCTTTTAATAACAATTTTCTTTGATTTCCTAATAATTTCAAAAAAATGCCCAATTAAATTTATTTTGTCATGTAGGAGTTTCAATATTTCCATATCCGATACTATTTTCAAAATTTTTCTGCTTTTAACTAACAATTTTCTTTGAGTGTATCATGAAATTTCCAAAAAAAATGTCATGCTAAATTTATACGGGTGATCATAATTCCATATCCTGTATTTTTTCATTGTCATTTCATTCTTTGAGTGTAATAAGAAATTTCAAAAATGTCCTCATTAAAACATATTTGTTCCATAGGAGATTTCATATTTTTGCATATCCTGGACTTTTTCTTGACATGTTCTTTTTTTTCATTTATAATCAACAGATTTCTTTGAGTGTAAGGAAGGAATTTCAAATTTATTTTTTACATAATGGGGTTTCATATTTTTTTGCATATCCTGTAAAAATGTAAAACATTTAAATTTTTGTTTTATATTCCGTTGGTATACCCACCTTAAACTTATAATAAATATTAAAAATAATCCAAATTTATATGAAATATGCATTTTTGTAGTTGTTGGTATATTCTTTTTTCTCTTGTAGATGATGTTAAATATTTGTATTTGGTATTTTATGTTGGATTTGTGTGTTAGTTGTTTTGTGTTATTTATTTTATTTTTTTCTTAAAATTGTTTGCAGTTATTTATAAACATGTTTGTTTTTGCATTGCAGTCATGCCATCACTTCGCTCAAGCTAATAAGGAAAAAATAGAAAATATATATTTTTTTTATTTTTCAAACACATAAAAATAATTATTTTTTCTTTTATAAACACTTTTCTTTCGATTTTTTTCTTTCTTTTTTTTGGTGTACAATTAACGGATATTTAAATTTTCGTTTTTTTATATTTTTCCGGTTTTATTTCGTTTCGTTTCAATGGTTTTCTTTTTTTAATGTAACATTTTAATTGGGAAGTGTGTTTTTTTGTTCCTTTCATTTAAATTCGTTCGTTGGCTCTTTTTGTTTATTAATTATGATTCGTTTTGTTCATTTTTGTTTTATTTTGCGTTTTTTGTTGTTTTCTTTTTTTACTAGTTAGTTCAACCTGCCTGTTTGCCTGCCTTTATTGAACTAACGTTGATATATTTTTTTATTTTCTATTGAATATCTTGACCAGTCACAGCAGCGACCGACCACAACAACCGTGGTGAGAGTGAGTGATTACTGTTCAAAGCAAGCACAGACACACGCACTCACCTAACCTTCCATGGTTTGTTGTTTTGTTTTTTATTACATGCTTAGATTTGTCTACGCAACTCTCCATTTCTTGTTCATTTCTATTCTGTTTGTTTCTTCTCTTACTCTTTGTGAGTAATGCCTGCGAGAACACGTAATTGTTTTCCCCACACACAAGTAATAATAACGGGTGATAATCATTATTATTATTACAGTGGTTATTGATCTCTCTCACTCTCATTACCCTTCTCATTCACTCTCCGAGTAAGTGAATGTGTTGTTGAGTATAGGAATGTGTTGTTTTTGTTGCTAACACTTTCGCCCATGCAATTTCATTCATAAAACAAGCAACTATCACATCTTTGGGGATTTTTCTGGTGGAATGGTGGAATCTATCTCCCTCTCTCAAACAGTTGTTTTTACGGTTTTACTTATCTCTTGGAATAAAGAGTAATTCTCTTGTTTTAGTTTTTATAATGGTTGCCTGCCGCCGCCTGCTTGCCTGCCTTTTTTTATTGTTTATGTTTTTTGCTGCTTGTGTTAACAACCCAAGTGATAATCTTTTTCGCCTTATAATCTTATCAGAATATTATTAGCAGGAGGTTAGTAATGTTTTGTTCATGTTATTGTTGCTGTTGTTGTGATTTTTGTACTGCCGCCGCCACTTTAATCTTTAGTTAGTTTTTTATTTATAATAGTCAGAGTTTATTTATTTATTTTTTTTTTTTTTTTTGCATAGAAGGGAAACATTTTTTTGGTATATTTTTTTGACAATTTAAATATTATCTCCCTCCTCCAGATAGTAACTAAAATTAAGTGGTCTGTGGTCCTACTTTCTTTGTTTGTTTTGTATGTCGATTATGTTGGGAATATAAACATATCAAATAAACCATCATTTTCTTGATGTGGCACTCTCCAAAATTTATTTTGTGATGTGCACATAAGTGCAATTGGGCGATAATTTCGAATGTTTCCTGGGTATTTGTCCCTCTTTGGAATCGCAGAAACCCTAATTCTCCTTCATTCACTCGGAAAACTACTTGTGTTCCATATTTCAACCCGAATACTGAAAAACTTTTGCTTCTCACTTGCTTTTAGACTGCTAATCATTTAATACGATACACCATCCGGACCTGCAGCGGACGTAGGACTCCTCGAGTCAAGAAAACTTTCAAAACACTTAATATCCCTAGTAGTCTATTGGCTTATCAAGTTTCCGAAGACTATGGGTGTGTCGTTATAACCAACCGTTATAAAATCAAGAAATTCTTCATTCATAGATCCACATTTATATATAACTCTCAAATATATCGATTTCATTCAATTTGCAGTATTTTGGAGGTTTAATTCATATTTTTTTACACAGCTTCTACATAACGTTTCCTATCAGTTTTCCACATTTAAATTCGATTTTGAAAATACCTGCTTTATTTTTATTGAGAATTTTTATACAGAAATTCTGAAGAAATTTGTTTTATTTATTTTTGCACTCTTAGGCGCCATTATTTTTTTTTTTTTTTTGCTTATTAATCATTTTTTGATTAAAATCTTTTTTTACTTTGACAATTCGTTGTATTTCGAAAAAAAAAATGTTATCAATTGTGAGTTTATTTAATTTTGTGTTGGGCGATAACGCAAATAATTTGCGGATTAATAAAACACAATCCGTCACAGTACCTCATTCTCCTGATTAATGTGGATTTAAAACGAAATTGAAAATACAACAAATAGATCATAGGGTTTGGCATGATTAAAATATTTTGAATAAAGCGGAACTATTATGTATACATATGTATGGATTTCTGTACCAATTTCGTAATACTTTTTTTTAATATATCCGGACAATAAGAGGTGTTATTGGATAATCGTGCTAAATTCTTCATTATTAAATAATAAAATTCCACTTTCGGAGAATGAAGTTAATGAAACACGGGTATTACATTAGGTATCAGTGAAATTGGCTCCACGTTGGGCGCCAATGCAACGGTTGTTTGAAATCAATGCTTTTTTATTACTCTGCTCAATCTTATCAGATGGTTACTATGTATCGTGTTTGAATGGAGATTTCGAAATGGGTGACTTCTTGTATATTTTTTTAGATCTCTTTTATACCCTTTTCTGGGTTCCATATGTGTATATCGTTATCGGTAGTATTATTCGACTCCTCGTTCTATAGGCACGGTTTGTTTTTGTTTCACTCCTCTCAACCACATTCCCATATATATACTCTTTAATAAGTCTCCTCATTGAAGAGACTTAATATGAGAGCGACAGAGAGAGACCAACTCCAATGTAATTTACCGAGAGTTCAAAGTTTAAGCTTCAATCTAGTTTTTTTGTGATTACAAAGAAATGACAAAACTTCATTTCTGTTTACTTTTTTATTCTTTTCTTTTATTTTTCGACATAAAATTTATTCACATTTGTTTTCATTTTAATTGGCCTTTGAGATGGGTACGAATTTGATTTAAAGGTCGGCACGTCGTTGTGGTTTTTTGATGCAAATATGCACGAAGAAGAAGAAGCAGCAGCATGCAATTAATTTACGAAATACAATATGAATTGGCAATGTTTCTATGACGTTTTGTTTTTTTAATTTATTTTCTTCTTTATTTTATTGCATTTAAATATTGTCGTTAATTTTATTTATTTATTCCCTTTTGGTTATTTTGATAATTATTATTTTGCAATTTTCTTGTTTAATGTTTTATTTATTTGTTGTGTTATTTACTGAGTAATTAATCCGAGAGTTATAGATCATTTGTGTTATATTTATTCTCTCCCCACACTCTCTTTGTGTGAGTTTGACAACGCGCAATGCCGCCGTCATTTCAATAAAAAATATTATTACCGTTGTTGTCAAAAGTTAAAACAGAACTGTTGATCATTTTTATTTACGCGGTTTTTGTTCCGTCGTTTCAGTCATAAAAATGCTTGTTTTTGTGTGTTTCACTTTGGGGCTTTGTTGTTCTTTTTGTTTGTATTTTTCTTGGTATTCTCTCTTTGTGTTAGAGTAAGTGTGCTTTTTAGTCTCCACCAATATCAAACACACAAATAAAATAAAAACTTGTTTCACTTGAAAATAAAAACAAAAAACAATCAATGCTCTTTGTTTTTTCATACTCGTATAGAAGGTGACGAAAATAAATGTGGTTACCACGATCAGGACTAAGGAGAAGTTATTGCCGAAATATAAAGGACCTTATGTAGTGAGTAAATTACTATCGAATGACCGATGTGTGATAAAAAATTGATTGAAAATGTTTTTCCGTTTTGGGAGCAACATATTCCCGGAATGCTTGCTCCGGAGTACGGAACTCCACCAAAGACTCCTCAACGGCAACCAAATATGCAGCGTTGCTGTTCCCACCCCTGATAGTTCATGAATGGAAAGAATATTATGGTCGCGGCTACAGCTGTAGTCTACAATTTCATTGAGATTGGTTTCCTGCACCGCCGCGACCATAATATTCTTTCCATTCATAAACTATCAGGGGTGGGAACAGCAACGCTGCATATTTGGTGATGGTTACAATGTTCTGAGGATGGATCCCACTAAAAGTGCAGGTGGGGGGCCTAGCATTCCTCATGAATCACTCTGTTCAATACAGGCCTATCTCGCTTGACTCTAGTAATACATTGAATAATGTAATGCATGGGGGTAGCAGTTAAATGTGGTACTGCCGAGATATAGGTACTTAACGTGTACATACCGCCGGTTAATAGCTGTGAACCGCGTTTTTTGCCCAATATTAGTTTTCTATTGCAGGGCAATAACCGTCTGGTGTTAGGTCATTTCAATGCCCACCATCAGTTGTGGCATTCCGTCATAGATAATGACGAGCGGGGAACAGTGCTGGCAGAGTAAATTTATATCTCCACGTTTTGCACGGTAAATGAGGATGTCCCAACCACAATAAGGGGAGTGTGTGACAGTTCGCCAGAAATAACCATTGTGTCACCAGGTCTGATAAATAACGTCAACTGGCAGCTCGTCTTTTCTCTTGGTTCAGATCATAATTGTCTCCATTAGCAGACCGCCCTGCAGATTCCAGGGTTAGGGAACTTACGTTGGACGTTAACAGATTAGTCGCGGAGTATAAGAGGAATAAATGGTTTTAGCAACTGAACATTGGTACCGGAGTAAGAAAACTGTGTGAAACGGTTAAGTCGCTCTCGAACCCTGGTAATAAGGATGATAGGAACTCAGTTACATTTAACGACGAAACTGTGACCGATCCGAAGAGATGTGCAAGTTATTTTAACTGACAGTTTGTCGAGCATCCCGAGAGCGACAGGGCGAAGAGAAGAGTACTTCGTCGTATAAGATCTTTTCC